AACCCTGGTTAGCCTTCAGTTCAGGGTGAACATCCTATTTCTGGCAGAACCATGTTTTAGCCAACTCTGTGTGTGTGTGTGTGTGTGTGTGTGTGTGTGTGTGGGGGTGTGTGTGTGTGTGTGTGTGTGCGTGCGTGCGTGCGTGCGTGCGTGCGTGTGTGTGTGTGTCAGGTGAACAGAAAGATGCAGGAGGTCTGGGCACACAGCCTCAGAAAAGTTTAAACAGGAAACATGAAGGTTGAAGACACTGTGTTCCTTTCTGAGGAGAACGGGAAGCTGCAGGCGGCAGATCAGCAAGCAGGAGAACGGAAGGTGGGGGAGGATGGAGAGAAACGAAGTATGAAAGTATTGAAGGATTTAAATTCCTCTGACGTTGAATTGAAACCCCGCCACTATGGACGACACCCCAACGCTACCGTTGGAACACGGGATTCTGGAGACAAAATTTAACGTTGCCAACACCGACTTCAAAAACTGGCTGAATTCTCAGGTGTTTCATGCTAGAAATCTGTCTGTAAAAGTTTCCATTTCTTGATGATGCCGTACGAGAAGTCCCACTGGGACGTCTCTTCGTCTACTGGACAGTAGAAGCTGCCAGATTCCTTGACTGGTGATCTGAGAGGACTGGTTTGGCTGTGGACTCTCAGTTTCAGATCTGATGTGCAACAACTCAGACGCAGTCTTCTGTTTCAATTAAAGGCACGCAAGTCAAGTACTGCAACCTCACTTGGGGTGTTTTTGGAACAAATTTGAACATAGAAACGGTGATGACAATATTCCAATAGTTGTGCGTCACGACTTTGTTTTTGCTGCTTTGTTTCTCTTGTCTGGCCTCTGAATTACTGTTTACGTTGAACATCCAGCTGAGTCACAGTTCACTCCTACCACCAGAGAAAGCAAACACTGTATTTCACTGGCAGACGCATGCTGGCTCGGTCCATTGTTGTTGCTCTCCTTCTTGTTGTGGCTGCTCTGCTCTTTTTTGCTCTCAGTGGAGGAGTGGAGGTAGAACGTGTAAGAGAATTTTACCATTTTTGTTTCTAAAGGAAACAAGTTTTGGTGGACCATTTTAAATCACAGAAAGCATTTGCCTCCAGATTGATTATTTTCACTTAAATTATTCCATGATTTTGAATATCAAAGATAATTGCAGCAAATGATGTATTTGTTTATTAAATTAAGATTATGTCCAAATCAACCAATCACAGATCTTGTAAGGCTGCTTTCAGTTTCGCCCAGGCTGGATTATTTCAGACCTTCGGGATAAAGAAATCTCTTGAACAGAACCCGTCTGACAACATGGTGGAACAAAGCAACGGCTCAAATCTCAACCTAAAAACATTCAGCAGTGGATGTGAAAGAAGACATAGTCCGCCTCCGACTTCTGGAGCGGCAATCTGTTCGCTTCTTTGGTCCGTATCAAGAGTTTGATTGTGCGTTCACATCCCTACCCTAACAGGGATGGTGGGAACGCAGCACCTGTAACGTCAGTGTTTATGGTATCCAACCAGAACAGAAAGGAGTATCATTTTCCAGACACAAGAAGACTTTTGGAGAAAACATTCAGTGGACCGAAGAGAGAAAAGTGGAAGTCTTTGGACGATGTGCATCCAGTGATATCTGGCACAGAACCGACAGCAGAGTGAGGATCAGGGGTTGCTTTGCTTATTCAGATATCCTGTCATAATTAAAGAAACCAAAAATTCTTTCTACCAGAAAACCCTGACGCAGAATGCTGTTTACCACTGGCAGCTTAAGATTTGGCTCAAAAAACAAAATGAAGGTTCTGACTTTAGCCTAAGTGCAAATATAACATAAGAGACCCAGTAGCTACACTTCCATATGATTGTCATGCACATTTAGATGAAAATGTTTGAAATAATAATAAGTAGGAAGTAGAGGTCGCAAAAAAAACTTGTTCCTTCTTTTTCTTTTTGCAAAATTGCTAAAGTTTTTAGGAACTTTCCATTTCCATCGACCTCTTCTAATGCAAAGTTTCAAAATGTGCATAAACATGGACGGAAACACGTTGTTTGCCAGTTAATTTCTTCGGTTCAGAGATAATTACATTCTCACTTGGGCTAAGTTGGTATTTACAGATTTACCCCCCACCCAACTTTTTAATAGCTTTGCTGTCAGATAATAACATTTGTTTAACGATGCAAGACGTTTAAGTGTGACAAAAAATAAGCAAAGGCCGAAGGAATCTGCAAGGGGGCAAAAATACAGTTTCACAGCAATCTGCATACATGAACCGAAGCCAAAGACGGAGGATCCTAATTGGTTGAATGTTTCTTATTTCCTCTGCTCACTTTCCACTGCTGAGTCAATAAAGTGAGAATCGGTAAGCTGCCAACAGAAGCCACACGGGGGCTAATACACTCTGGTCTGTATTAGTGCAGGTCAGAGCAGACCCAGCAGGCCTGGAAAACCCCCAGCGAGACCCAAACACCCTGCAGGTATGAAGCCGACGATTAGAGATGATCTCCAAGCAGTGAAAGAAGAAACCACTGGCGCCACATGGTAGTGCTGTCTGAGGTCAGTGCAATGACAAAAGGCCCATTAATAAGGGCTGTTTAACACCAGCGGTGGTACGTTCCCCCCCCACAGGCAGTTAAATTTCCAAAAGCGTTGCAATTACCTTTAGCGTCGAGTCCTCTGAGATGCTAAAAGCATCTTCAGTGGAATCTGTGACCCACAGCAGCACATGCAAATCCTGGGATCGGCGCTCTCCCTCCAACAAAACGTGAATCAGCTTTGTTTTTCCTCTCCACTGCATTGTTCACAAAGCCGGAGAGCAATTTACTGCCTGAATCCACATATTTGCAGGCTGAGGACAAAACAAATTCATTAGCATCTGTAGGCTTCCATTAAAGGTCTATGTTTAGAGGAGAGCGGCTTGTTGTTGAGGAGATCACTGGGGCCATCAAGTGTCAGGAACGGTGGCTTTCAAACTGCTGGGTTCCACTTTTCTATGTGAAATAGAGTCTAAAGGAAGAGTTAGGTAACAGCAGAGCTGCGTGTTCTGCAAATAATAGTTTTATTTAACAGAACATCAAGTACCGTACAGCGTTGGTGTTTTTTTCATGACATTAGCTGAAACAGTAGCAGGGTTTCCCCCAGAAAGGGGGTCTTTATGGTAGTCCTCCAGCCGTCCTCCAGCCGTCCTCCAGCTGTCCTCTGCGTTTTTTGTGTTTGAAAACTAACAGTTAACAGATTGAAAACATAACATTGTAGTTATGTGGTATTGGATACCAACTTTAGTCTTAAAAAGGGCAAGTATAAAAAAAAAAAAACAAGTACCGATGCAGAGTGAAGGCTGAGCCAGAACACACAGTAAGTGTGTGTGAGACATGAAGAATGATACACATTGAATGGCACTTCAACATGCTAACATTAGTCAACGACGTCGGCTCGGTTGCACACACTCTCGTCGGTCAGCTGGCTGAACCTGAAGCCTCTTTGGAAAACGAAAGTGTCCAACGTGTTTGGATCCTTCGTTCAGGACGTGGCGCTTCATTTGGTGAAGTTGTTAGACCGGCACTTGTTATAGGGTTCCCATGATTAAAGAGCAGAGACACAACTTTGTGTTCAAGTGAAGACCATAACATGTCACCGTGGCACTTTCAACCGTTACGCCAAAGATACGACGATTAGCCTGGCAGGAGAAAGTAAAGACTAGCTTACAATGCACTGGTGGAAACACTGAGGTAATATAGTTTTGCAGCTATATTACAGTTGTGAACATTTGAGGCTAATTTCCTTCATGGTAGATATTTGTGGCACGGTGCAGCCAGACTGTAGATGCAGTGAATTTGATACATTTCCTGCATTTAATTGGAAGGCTGACCGGGAGGTCATGAAGTCCCTCTGCAATGATGACCGGTGAAGGAAGGAAGGAGATACATCAGCCAACAAAAACAGACACTCATGTTTTCTTCTTCTTTCTGTGATGTTGGGAGTTATGAAATTAGATCTGCATTAGGAATGATTTATCAGCCCTTCAAATTCAATAACGTCCACTGGGCGTCCTTTATAAAGGAAAATGGGCTGTTTACTCCAGCAAGGGGCAAAGCTGGATCATCATCTTCCACTTCCTCCCTGTTTTCACTGCCTCCTGTCTGCATGTCCTGATGAATTAAGGCAGGCGCAGGCTGTTGGGAGAACTGACAGGTTTTCTGGGAAAGGAACTCGACTCAATCAGGCTTCGATTGCGGAGAAAAGCTCCGTCTGAAAATCTTGGACGAACTCGACGTTTGACAGTGTTCGCTGTGACGGCCGTGTTTTACAGCCTCTCTCGCTGTGTAATTACGCTTTTGAGGACTGCACTGCAGTTGACCTCCTCTGACATTTTAACAGCCTCCTCCGGGGTGGAAGGAATCCAGAAGCATGTTTTTTGTCATCCGATTTCCACGCAGGAGCAATCCGTCTCTTCAGCTGCCAGGAAAACATACGGAGCATGTTACGGCCGAGGAATCGTACGCAGCGCCGGCGGAGGCTGCGCTGCCTCGGCTTACGGAGGAACGCGGCTGAGAATGAGCTGTTGGGAGTGAACAGAGGGATGGTAAACCACCACCTACTGTAATAATGACCACGTAAACGGACGGCACAGCAACACTGGTAATCAAAACAAGGCCGATGAAAATATGTAATGAGTTAACAAGCAACCATCAGCCCTCAAACTGTTGACTGGACTGAAACTTTTATTTATTTATGTAGGTGTAGAGAAACAGATGTCAGCATGTACCTCCATTTAAAGTCCTGTGTACTGAGAGTACAATACTCTATAGAGTTAGAATACTCTATGATTCCTTTTGCATAATATTTGTACACAAAAATGTATAATCTGATTAGATTCACTGGCATTCCAATGGTTTAGTGTCTGAGATGTTTCTAAACAGACATATTTGCCTTTCTGGAAAGACGAGCGAGAACAAACAACAGAAACACCAAATAAAATCAACTATGAAGATTCTGCAAACCAAATGATGCAGGTTTACCTGACTTGCCCACCCCCGCCTTGCCGAACACAGCCAGCTTCACCTCGGGGCTCTTGGCCATGACAGCGGTTGCCACCAGCAACGCTCAGCCGGCCGATCAGTGAGTCCAGACTTCAGCCAACCATCCTCTGATCCGGCCGGGAGGAAACGGCAGCTGAGGAGATGAGAAGAATGACAGCTTGAACGACTCCATTACAGAACCAACAGATCCATTACGGACGAAACGCACATTTAACTCCCCCACGTTGCATTTAAGCGCCCCAGAAATGATTGGGATTCTTCAATTTTAGTTTCTTGACAGCGTGTGACGTTGTCCATAAGGCAGCAATGGACACATTGTTTATACTGTTACAACAAAGAATATTATTTCTTTGTTTTTTTTTCTTTGTTTTTTCCTCATTTTTTCTTCATTCCACTGGAGTTGACCTCCTCTGACATTTGATCACAACTGTATGTTTGATCAAACTCTCCTTTACTCTCTCAGTAACAAGCATTTTGTGACTTTCTTCAGCCCCTGCAGGATTTTACAATTGTCTGAAGTTTTTTTTTTTTTTTTTGTCTTCCAAATCCATAATTTTGTGGAGCTACTATGGAAATATTTGCGAGGAAATTTGGGGAAAAGATGATAAAAAAGTTTGGACAGACAAATTTATGTCCTTGAAAGAATTTATACAGCCAGATTTTTGATTTGACCGATCATGGGTTATAACTTTACTTGAATTAGGCAGCAGCATAGAGGAAATACAAAATACTGCCACCTGCAGGTGGGAGGCAGCGTGACTTAAACCCAACATTTGTGGTTATTCTCTTGGGAAGTTTGCATGAATTCATGCAATGGTGTGATGACAAAAGACTGAAGGAGCCGTTTGTTCATCCGTTGTCTTCGTGACAGACTTCCGCCCTCATGACTGGATGACACTTTAACACGTTCCAAGATTTACGTTGAGCTTCACAGGGAAACAGTGTATCTCCTCCACGATCGGAGGTAGAAGCCACAATCCTCATGATATGAAGAAACGCTGATGGAGCTTAAATTGTCTTTTGAGAAGGAAAACACAAGAGCAGCCTGTTTAAACAACTAAGCACCAGTCTGTTTGATGAGAAAACAAGCTGCTGTGAAGTTTTCTCCCCAGACAATTAAATCAGAGCCTCTTTCCTCAAACCAGCCTGTTTTTTCTCCTGTTTTCTTCTCCAGTTTTTTTCATTTTTTTATTTTTTGGAACAAGAAAAGAAACACTGATGGCAGTCTGATTAAAAATCAATACTTCAGAGGAAAACTAATGAGCCTTCCAGACAAATCACTTTGCCCAGATAATATGACGAGTCCAGGTGTTGCTGGTACCGATTGGAGCAGGCAGCTGGCAGCCAGTCCTCTGATCAAACAACCAAACAATCTTTCTGCTAATAGAGGCTCAATAAAACCCAGAATGGTTCAATAGTTGTACATTAAAGTGACCTTTACAATGACCCTAACCCTACCCTAAATGAACCCAATTCAAAACCATCAGGTCATGTTATAACATTCTCACTTGATGCTTCAACCATTTTGTTAACGATCACATATTGCAACGTTTCAGACTCCATAAATAATTAGATAAAAGTTTCAAAAGTATAAAATCAGTGCTCCGCTCTGCTAAAACCAACCCGGCTCCATTTCAAAACAAGCCGATACTCTTGAGCTGAATAACATTTAAGCAGTCACATTAGTCGGTGCTAAGTACACACAGCGCTGACATACAAAACACAAACCAGGAGTGTCCCTCCTGTTGTCCAGGCCTGGTGGGACGGAGGAGACGTCCTGTAACATTGCTGTGTGAACAGGGCCGGTCTGAGGCTGCTTGGGGCCCAGAGCGCCATCCGCAGCACCACTGACAGAATGACATCTTGTACCTGCTGCAAATGTCTTCAAATCTTTAACTATTCCGCATGTCCTAAAAAATAAAAACAAAACCGATGACTTGCCCTGCTTTCTGAATAACTCAGCAAATATTTGTCTAACCACTGGAGGGTACTGGTAGAGCAGCGATGTTTCATTCAGTTACTTGCTTATTAATTATAAAAGAAAAATAATGGACAGAATAGAGCACTGAACTCCACAGCCTTGATCCCAATGTACACATGTGCTATTCAGAACGCAAGCGCATATTAAAACGACACACACTTCAAGGACTCAATGTTCTGAGGCTTCTCGTTGGTGCAGCCAAACTGAAAAAGGGACAAAAATACTTTTGCTAAGCACTGGATAACCAATCCAAACGGCCTAAATAAAGTAACATTTCTGAATGAAATTATAACGCCAGGCAACAACAAGTGTTCAGAGTCTAATCATGTCACGTACAACAGCAAAACACACAGACAAAAAAAAAGATGGCAGAAGGCAGAAAATTTCCCAACTAACAAAATTCTCATGACATCAATTGCTGTTGGGGAAAAATAAAGCCGTGTTTTTACTCATTATAGTCTTGGCCCAATGAGATGCAGTAAGTTAATGAGAGCAAACTTCAGTCAGATTCCAGCATCTCTGCCCGGAAAAATAAAAACCTTTGAAATATGTTTGGGTCAAAGTCGCTGCCAGAAATCTGTTCTTCAAACCGGCTGAAGTTATGAAGTGGCAAGTTTCCAAGCTTTTTTTTTCCTCCTGCTTCACAAACACACACAGTGCATCAACCGCCATACGCCTTGATTATGGTGTGTCATTTGTCCGTCATCTGTAGCCATGTGAAAACATGAGAGGCTCTACAAGCAGCTGCATGTTGTTATGACACATGAAGCAATCCACTGATCTCCATATACGGATTGGTTGAAAATATGCAATAAGTCTATTTTTCCCCCCCCACATACTTAGATATGTAGACATTTTACATAATTTTGATTGTTTAGGGTTATGGTTATCACTTGAATTTCTCAGTATTGTTAAAAAAATGAAGACCTTTAAAACGGTTTGATTGTAGCCATCAAGCCATCTTGTATATGTTAAATTAACCCAGCACAAAAAGATGAAGACGTCGATATGTGAACGTTTCTTAGTAAGAACTGAAAACTGTATTTAATGCTGTCTCAGGTTTTTCACATGCCAGCAAGGATGTCTCTCTCTCTCTCTTTCTACTGGGTTCATAACAACGCCATTATTTAGTTCTGATATCCTGTTTCGCTGTAAACCTCAGCAGGACTTCTCTCCCAACGTCTCAAACACAAACAGTGGATAGAAAACCGTTTCCCGTCCACACCAGGTTCTGGAACTTTTGCATCAAACAGTCGCTTTTCCACATTAAAGCTCTCTAATGACTTTCAAACAGAACCGATGTTCTTTCAGCTTCTGCTTCAGTTCTCCTGCAACGGACCCGACGAAGTGCGACGACGTCAGGGATCCTGCAGCAGAGGAGTTTCACACGCGGCGTCCCCCATCACCTCTTCCTCACCATTTTCCATCTACTGGCCATTTTAGCTCTCGGGTCCAGATTCTGCTAAAAAGAACAAAAAGTTCATAAAAAAGAATAAAAAAGGAGGGGCAAAGAAAAATGAGACATTGTTGTAAACTCAGGTAGAGTCAAAACAATAACCATGTCATTTTTGGGGGGAAACAGTGGCGTTTTTGTTTGCCACGCTTCGCGTGTCAGACAGGGTGATCATTATCCACTTTATCACAGCTCCATCCAGGCCGGGGACGGGCGCGCCAGGACAGGCTCTGCTCAACTCAACTCAGGAGTCAGGAGAATACATTTGGGACGGCGGAATCAAAAGTGTTGGGTATCGGGCCAACAGGACGTGGCACGCAAATACAGTTCGCTCGTACGCATAAATACGGAGCGCAACAAAAGCTCTGGGGGGGTCAAAGGTCTCCAGTTAAAACTCGCTTGCAAAACACGTCCAAATGATGGTTTGTGACAGGAGGCATGCTGAATTTGATTTATCCAAGTGGGATAAATAGGGTCAGACGTTAAGAGTTCTGTTGCCACCGGTGCGCTGCATGCCCCACGTCGGCAGAACGAGGGAGTGAGAGCGTCTAAAGTCAGAGAAAGAGCAGAATGGAATTCTGCACGACATGCAAAATGAGCCTTTAAGATTGATTCTGGTTCTTTAGAACATCTGAGGAATCATTTATCAGGAGAAGAACAGTTGATCCGTTCCATTCCTTCCGAACGCTATCTGATCAATGTTCAGATTTCTATCTCGTCCACAAAGTGGGCTTACTCCTCCATGAAGAGTGGGATCAAAGTATCCGCAAAGAGCAGTACATTTTTACGACATGTTTTTTTTAATACTTCTTTATGATGATAAAGAGTCGTGTCACCAAGCCAGAGTCAAGAAAATGCGCTTCCAAAGATTGTGACGTTGAAAATCTAGATCCATGATCAGGAAACTTCGAATGAGAAACCGTCTGTTGTCGAGAAGCGAGTCAACAAACCGATCAGTACGTTCCAGGTCCAGAGAGTTATATCCAAATTGATCACTGCTGATATGAAGCACTGATCTTTCTGCTGGCCGCTCTTCTTTGTCAGAGGTTTTTGTGTCTTTGGCGGTTCTTGGTGCAGTAATATGATCAGCTTTGTTGTCTTTTATTTATTTATTTCCAACTGTGAAGAATAAAAGCATTTTAAGGTAATCTTGAGCAGCTCATGAATGTATAGATTTAATATGAAAAAAAAATTAAATACAAGCTCTCAGTTATTTAAAAATATATATTTATTCTATCTTATTTATTTTAATTTGTCATATTTTATGTCATAAAATCATCTTAATATCCAGTACAGTCATCATGGCTTTGACTAAAAATATTGTCAAAAACTTTGGAGAGAAAAATGTTGATTTTTAGAAAATATATGTATAAAAAAACAAAATGTTTTATCCAGGATGTGCAAGTTTGCTGTTTTTGCACCACATGGAACCGTGCTCCACATCCAAATTGGCAAATAGGGCACACGTGTATGTTCTCGTTCTTTTTTTACGCCCCAATCCGAGAGCCCAGCTGGGTTTTGTCTCAGTTTTACTTTGAGAAATGAATCTCGGTGGTGGTGCTGTGGCTTTCAGAGATTACAGACCGTAGAGGTCCAAACCATGGGAGGAGATCTCCTGCACCACCGGCTATAGAAAGACGGCAAACCACACGCCCATCACCAAAATACACACAGGACAGGGAAGCTCAGAGCAGCAGGAGAGTGAGTGGAGAAAGGCTTCCTACGTCTTAGGAAGGTACAACAAAGTTGTTTTGGGTTTTTTTGGTGAAATTTGTAGCTTTGTAGTCTTCTCAGTGGAAGAACTGACCTACTACTTACTGTAAGTTAAAAAAAAGATGGTCAACTGAACCCAGACTGAACCAGGCTGTGTGTTTGCTGAAAGACTAAAACCAGCATCAATCTACTACGTACGATACTGTACACCTGTTTCAGAAAGCGGTGTTTCAAAACTACAAAAAATACTTTTCCTATGATTTAAGAGCAACATGAAAAAAATTAATTAAGAAAAATTAATAAAACTTCAGCCTGTATTGAGCCCAGAAACCTGAGAGCAGTGTTTTAAAAGTACATCTGCTGAGTTTCAAGCTGGATCTTTGCTTAATAGCCAACAATGAACTCGCTACTTTAGCTTGTCTAAATAACTGGCTAATATAAGCTTCTTATATAAACAGCAGAAAAGTGTGATGTTCTAAAGTGCGAGTGCCTGAAAGCTACTGATGGGATTAGTCGGGGTTGGTTCTAAGTTAGCGTTGGTGTACGTCTCAAAACGGCAGAAGAAATCTGTGAGGTTTCACTGAGGCTGATTACAGCCTCCGTTCTCCGTTGGGCTTTTTATATTCCTGGATGGTGTGCCAGTTTATTTGGTCTCCAAACTGCTGCTTACATATTTCTCCTGACTTTCTGCGTTTTGAACTTGCGTTGGAGCTGTGGACTTTGTGAAAGCCACCTTGTTCCTGAGGGGCAATTAAGTTATTAGCTGCATTTTTCATTGACCATAAAACGGTGCAAATTGGAAGTGCAAAAATAAATGTACTTTCTGGAAATGTGCAACAATTTTTGGGGTAAAAATTCAAGTTTTTCAATAAAAAGGTTTCAGTCATATGAAATTGGTGCGTTTCACAAAACTGCAATGGGAATACTTTTTCTCAGCAGCGACGCCAGCAATAAGTCTCAGATCTCTCCTCTGGCTGAAATGCACATCTCATGTTTGCACCTGTTGCTGCAAAGATTTTTGTTGACTTGTGTAAACAGTCACATGTAATATTGAAAAGCATTTCCTGCTCAACAAAGAAAACCGGAGTTGCAAAAAATCTGTTTGTGTAGTTTGGGGGGGGAGCGGTTCCAACATGACCAGAATATATAAATATATATATTAAAAAAATAAAATAAAAAAAATTCGTTGTTTCCAGGAGTCACATTGTAATAATTAGGATTCATACACTTTCAGCACATTGGTTTTTTTCCCCCCAAATACCAGCCATGGGAACTGAAGTTCTCATTGTCATCCCTTCCTTTTATTTATCTATTTAATTTTTTATTTATTTTTTTGCTGACATGAGTCACAAGCTGAACCCAGTCCAAATCGGTCTGTATGGTTCCTGAGGCCGAACCCAGATCCTTTCTGGACTGGTCAGTGTGGCAGACAGCTGTGCAGTAACTGACTGTACCTCCTGGATCCTGAACATTCGGATTAAAAAATAAAAAATAAAAATAAGTTTTTGGACTAGTCTAAGTTCAGTAACCAGTACGCATTTTCAGTCCATCACAAAATGTGCAAGAAAAATAACTGCATGGGAAAATGTGAACAGACTCCTTGAATCACACTAAACTAAACTGACTCTGCTCTCGATCCAGTTCATTTCATCTGTCGGTTTTATTTTAGCGACATTATTTATCATCAAACGTTAAAGCTTTGCCATGGAAACGGCTGTGGTCTGTTTTGCTCCGCGAAGATCTTTGATCTCAGAGAGGGCTCACTCCGGGTAAAACGTTCAACCTCCTCAGCTCAGCTCAGCACCTCAGCAATGCGGCGCCGTCACCTCCAATCACCTCAATCACCTCCATCACCTCCAATCACCTCCATCACCTCCAAGAAACAACAGACTCACCGGACTGGAGAAAACGATCCCCGCGGATCGAGGAGGAAAAGTTGACTCCGTGGATGAAAGGGACGTTTGACCTTCTGAGATGGAGATCCGGACACGACGCGCAGCTGGAGACAGACTGGTGGACAGGCGAGTGGACGGACGGCGGGCTGGTGTCGGGACAGACCGAGCCGCGGCTCTGGCGGAGATGAATGATTCCTGGAAACACCGGATAGGCGGAAATATACAGAGGGGGGAGCGACGGGAGTCCCTGTCAGGAGTCCCCGTGACCGGACTGCTGCTGCATGCCGCCGCATGCCCGTACCGAGGGGGCAGTGACACCTAGCGGCGGAACGAGGTAACACACGCTGGAAAAGGGAGATTCCACACATTTTAGCTGATTCAAAGTTTTACGCGCTTAAGAGACACAAAAATCGCTCGTTCTAACATTTGTAAAAATGTTATATTTCATAACATGCAGGATTTTCCTTGTTTGTTACAATATTGACATGAACAATATTGTGAAACACTTTTAAAAATGCATCCAAAACAAACAAAAAAAAAGTCTTCCATAATTATGTCATTTCAGGAATCTTTGTTTAATGGGGTTTTGAAATTTAAGTTCAGTCTTTGTTCAACAAGAACAAACTTTATTCAAATCTGCTTCCAAGTATGTCGCGTGCCTGAGGGCTGGAGGGTGTGAGCCGAGGGAACTTCATCCTTTGCCCCTTTCATCCTTGATGCCCCAAGTGCCTCTGAGCCCCACCACCCCCATATGAGAAACTACCACATACAACACCTTGCTCCCATATTAAGATTTTCTCATAAATGCCCCAATGTCTGGTATTATACTAATAATGTCCCCTGCCCCTAATGTAGGTCACATGAAAACCAGAGGAAAAACTCGACAGCGTTTCTTAGCATTAATCACTTTATTTAAAACTGTATTTAGAATTGTTTTGCTACACATTCAAAAGACATTAAAATTGATTTCACTGGGTCTTGCAGTTGTCATCGTTCCAGAAGTCTGGCTTTTCAGCAGTTGCTTCTTCTGCACAGAGAATAAAATAAGAATCATAAGACATTTACATAAAAACTGAACCAACAGATCAAACAGCAGAATCCTACTTCAGAATTTGGAAACGGCACAGTGGGATATTAGAACTAAGAACAGACCTGGTTTGATTCCGAGGTTGGAGTTATCAAAGAACTGAGTGGGACAGTTTCTGGTCAGCAGCTCTGAACCTTCACCTGCACTGAAAAAGCTGCTTTTGGGAGAGTCCAGCAGTGAGGCTGCACTGACCAGAGGTTTCCGAGGAGAATCCAGGGCTTTCTTAGGAGGAAGGTAAGTTCTTTTAGTGGGGCTGAACAACAAGGTGGAGTCTGAGGTGGGACACAGGACCCTCTTCTTAGGAGTACAGGGGGAGGCCTGCCTGTCCAGCTCAGTTTTGCACTTCCCTTTAAGGCTGATTGCTCTGTTCTTCCACTTAGTGGTCTCCTCCTGCTGGCAGGAAACCAAGCTGATGAAAGAGAGGTCAGAGGTCAGAAGCCTGAACTTCCCCAGCATCACAACCAACAGAACTGGTGCAATTTATTCTTCTTCTGGTTCTGCGACAACTGCTCACATTCATCGCGTGTTTTAATGATGTAAAGCACTTTGAGTTGTTGCTGAAATGAGCCGAACAAACAAACTGGATGGACTGACATCTTGTTCAGAGGTAAATCAATCTAAGGCAGAGATCCCAACTCCAGTTTAGCCGTTTTAAAGCATCTGGACCTGATCCAAACCAACCGCTTTCTGACTTTGTCTATGGCACACATGGACATAAAAACCAAACTGGATCCTGTTACCTTTCCAGCTCAGTGATCCGGAGCCGGAGCTGTTTCACCTCTTCTTCCAGCTTGGTCTTCTCCAACAGAATGCTGCTCTGGATCATCGTACCTCTGGGGTTGGTTAGTCGAGCGTGAAGCTCCTTCCCTGTGAGGACTAGACGGAGAACAAAAAGCAACATGTTTCTAATGATTCTGAACTGGATACAATCGTTGGTAAACCTCTGGCCCTCTGTCAAGAACTGAAAATGAACTGGAGTTATAACCTTCGTGACTGGCGTTTGTTTCTATTCCTACTTAATTTAACCTTGAATTGTGAGGGGAATGTAGTGAAATAATTGGTTCAAAGCCAACAGTAAAACCTTCTGCGAGGCGTTGAGCTGATTCACTGCAGACCGACTTACACGACTCCTCGCCTTGATTCTGTGATCTCAGGTCCTGCTTCAACTTCCTCAGAGACTCCTCCTTCACATTCAACACCGTCTGCATCTTCTCCATCCTGAAAGCAGAACCAACATTAACACATTGCAGCAACGGGCGGGTCTAAATCAGTCGTCGCTTGCTAGAGTCTAAGGTCTCTTCGGTCCAAATCATTACAAAAAGAAAGCTTCCCACTTTAAGAGGGCTTCACCGCTTTCAATGGAGAAAACCTCAGCACGCACACACACACACACGCACGCCTCAACTCTGCAGTCAGAGCTCAAGAGTTGAAGTAAAGAGTGAGGATAAATCCAGGGGCTCTTACTCTTGCTGGTGTTCCTGTGTGACGGAGGCCAGCTTCACCTCCACCTCACAGAGTTTGCTCTGGACGCTTTTCAGCTGAGCTGCACTGAGTGATGCATTCTTCTGAACGAGAGAGAACAACCGCCTTCAGCAAAGCGAAGCTAAAAGCTAAAGCGGAACCCGTATGGAGAAACGCCAGTCAGTCCTACTTCAGACTCTTCCAGTTTGACCTTCAAGGTCAGGATTGTGTTCTCCTTCTCCTTCACAAGAACTTTAGTGTCCAGCAGTTCAGTCTGCAGGAGCTGAGTGGTCCGTTTGTGGTTGGACTCCATGTTTCTGGCTTCAGCCTTCGCCTCCTCTAGCTCCTCCTGCAGAGCCTGAAACACACGTCCAGCAGGTGTTGGAGCATTTTCCTCCCAGAATGTGAAGAGGCTGACCTCAGTGGGTCAGACTCACTGTGAGCTCTCCGGCTGCCTGCTGAAGCTGCTTGTAGTCCTGGACTGAGGGCAGGTTTGGCGTCACAGGCGTTCCCTCCAGCTGCTGCAGCAGGGATGAAGTCTTCCTCCTCTCCTCGCTGAGCTGACCATCTCTCTGTTTATCCATCTGCATTAGTTCAGTCAAAATCTCACTGAGCTCATCGCTGATGGCCTGTCAGAGAAGACAGATTACAAAATAAATAAAAAAGTTAACTAGCAAAACATTAGTATTATGAAATATTCAAACTCTGATGAATTGAACTCTTCCTAGGAGAAACAAAACATTAGTTTTTGGTAAAGCGCACCTTTAAAGGCATCATCCCGTTTTGGACCACAAGTCGCCTCCGTACAGCTTCTTGGCTGAGGAGTCGCTCCAGCTCGCTGATGACCGGCGGGTTGGAGGCGGCCTCAATAGACTCGTTGAATTTGACCCTCTCCTGAACTTCAGCCTGTCGCGCTGCGATATACGACGTCAGGCTGGCCCACAGCCTCTCCAAAATGGTCTCCATTTTCTACAGAGTAAATCAAAATGCATCATGTTAGACCTCTCATTTTCAACCAAGAGCTGAAAGCAGCCATCTGGAAAAATAATCACAGACAGATCATTGGCTTGTGGTGCTCAGACGGGCTTGGAGCCCTTTCAGAACAGCGTCATCTGCAACTTCATGTCAACTTTATAAATAAGCCTGAATGTGTTCACTAGAAGAGCAGAGCTTACCTGCTGGTAGAGCTGACGTTTGTCCAGAAGCTTAGAGAGCCTCTGGTTCCACCGGGAGTGGAAATCCTCAATGTTGACGGAAAACTTTGGAGCGCCAACTCTGCACATCAGTAAGTCCTGCAGCCGTCTCTCCTCGAAAACAGCCAGGTCTGTATTCACCACCAGCTCAAAGGTTTTCACATAAACACGTGGATGCACCGTGAGCTGCTCCTAACAATCAGAGGAGCACAGATGTTCAGTTTCCTCTGGAAACTGGTCAACATTTCTTAAATTGCATCTAGAACACAGGAGCAAGAGTCATAAGTACAAGAGTCTTCGTGAAACTGCTGCAGGTCTGAAATCCCAGCTCAAAGACGTCACCGAAGACGGGCAGCATGGACTTTGGAAGGTCCTTCAGGTGAGAAAGCGTCAGGAAGCTCTGGACTTTCAGAACGTTCTCCAGGGTTTCAGAGGCCGTCTTTGTGCACATTTCTTTAAACTGTTGGAATTTTCCAAAGGTTGCCTAAAATGACACATTTTAAGGAACATCAGAAAAATATCATCCAGCATCAAATCAGGATCAGTTGGGTTGCCTCTGTATAAATCAAACTTAAACATGAATTACATCAAGATGATCAGCCGAGTCCTGCAGGTGTGACAGAGTCTCCCAGAGTGCATTGGGCTTCTGCTCCAGGTTGTTCAGCTGCATGTTTGCTTCATTGAGCAGCTGAAAAAAAAAAAAAAAAAGATAATGACTAAAGTTTGGTTTTAATAGCCAAACACCAGAACTTTTTCGCAAGCGATTTTCCTGTAACGACCAAAAGCGCAGCTCTAAATACCAGCTGTGACAGAAGCATGCAAATTTAATTCTGGGAATTAAAAAATAATGAGAATGTGATTGTTTGCACAAACCTGCTGGGAGGCGTCGCACTGGGCTTCAGACTGAGCTCTTCTCTCCCTCTGCAGCTGCAGCTCCTTCTGCAGGTTCTGCCACTGTCAGCAGAACACAAGCAGAGCTCAGAAAGCAGCAGGCAGACTGGAGGAGCTTAAACACTCAAGAATTACTTCATTCTAACGTGCAAATGTAAACATACTACTTAGTAAACTAAGGTCATTAGGACACAAGTTTGAGATCAACCCAAATTCAAATATACTTTTTGATCCAGAAGGGAATTAAATGTCAACATTTTTGGCTTCCACTGTTTTTATTCCAAGCCTAAAACTGTGAGAAGAAAGAGACTGGAAAAATACCTTTTGCTGAAACATTGCTTCTTGTTCGTCTTTTTCCGTTTGCTTCTGCATCATCAGCAGCTCCTGCTGAGTGATCTTCTCCTGGAAGGCTGACACCTACAATCAGAGGTCAGTTAGTGTAGGTATTTTCTAAAACCCATTAGTAGTTCCTTTAAGATCAGAAGTCCTCCACAGCTGCCATCCCACCACTTTTAGATGCATTCCTGCTCTGAAAATGTCAGTCAAAAGGTTTGATCCAAGTGTGTCAGAGAAGGAATGGATCTAGAAGTTGCAGCTCTAGAAGAAAGGACCAGTTACCATGTTGATGTTGTGCTGCAGCTGCGCCTCACGCTGCGCCTCCTCCTCCCTCAGCCTCTCCAGCTCCTCCT